CAATAGCCAGCTTGCTATTGGCTATTGCAAATTGAAATAGCCAATAGCAATCTGCATTCCTATGCTGTGCTCCATCAGGTCCACCTCTGCTGACAGCAGCAGAGGGCGGGTGCAATAGCCAGCTTGCTATTGGCTATTGCAAATTGAAATAGCCAATAGCAATCTGCATTCCTATGCTGTGTTTTTTTTTTGTCCTGATGGTAGCAGCTGTCAGAACACTAAAAAAACAGCAGATAGCAAAGGAAGCATTAGCTATCTGCCATCATGCCATCATATCAGGGGGGTGCTCTCCTCCTTGTTGTTTCACCCCCTGCGGAGAGGGGGCTGACAGAGGGCACCTCCCTGAAATGAGAAGGGCGCCTCCCTGAAATGAGAAAGGCACCTCCCTGAAATGAGAAGGGCACCTCCCTGAAATGAGAAGGGCACCTCCCTGAAATGAGAAGGGCACCTCCCTGAAATGACTTATTTCAGGTTGGGATCCCTGGGGTTTTGAATGCTGTGTCCGGGTTTCATGGCAGCTGAAACCCGGACATATGATGTCAGGCGGACAGGGGCAACCAAAATTAAGATAGGGGCTACTTGCCCCTCACCGCAAATACTCGTTCTCCCCCAAAAATGTCCGTGTGTCGCTAAAGTTTTTGGGTTTCGTTGAAAGAAAAAGGTGGGCAACCCTATGTGTGCAGGGGATGTTGAGAAGAGTCAGAAGACTATCTGCAGTACAAGAAACATGAACCCATCTCTATTTTCTCTTGTTTGATAGTTTGTACAGCTAAATATATAGCAGAGCACACGCTGCTTACAAAAGCACAATCTTGAATTTACATTTAAGAATTGAATTAAAATAATTGCCGGATACAATGAGAGAATCTTGTGCAAAGAGGCAAATCAGGTGCCCCTAGGGCAGCTTGATGCCTAAATACAGCCTTGGTGGGGGAGGGGAGGGGGTAGTCGTTATGTGTATGACTAGTTTTAGTTAGTTATAAAGTTTCCAATGCCCAGTGCAGGATTTCACGTTACTTTTGCTATGTGTAGATCTGTCCATGTTTTCCTTCTGTCAGCAACACAAAGGGTTTCTCCAGATACACAATGTATTGCTCCGGTGCTGGCTGCCTTCCAACAAAGCCAGCACATACGTGGTTAAATGTTTCCATGTTCATATTCCTGCCCAAACAATGACCATCGTCCGGCCCCCTCCGCCATACATGACTTTACTGAATTGTATATGCTATGAGTATATGAAATATAAATATCTCTAAACCCAGAGACCAGGAATAGCTTTCCATAGCACAAGAGTCTGCCTTTTATATTCTTACCCAAACTAGACTGATCACAGCTCGCACCTGATTGGTTGCTGGAGGGGAATACAAATGTCTTTATTTTCTTTAGATTTACTTTGGAAACCTAGACCAGCATTTCTGAGCTTTTTTTTCAGCCAAGGCACCCTTGGAAATACGCAGAATCTCCAGGCACCCCCAGTCTAAAATGTGAAAAAAAACGTGTGGCCCCTCCAAAATCCCAGATAGGGGTCTGGTATGGATTTTAAGGGTGGGATGCCATGCAAAACCACAAAAAAATGAGGTTCCCCCTTCACATCAGAGCACCACCTTTTACAGCAGAATCCCCACTTTCACATCAGAGCCCCCCATTTCACATCAGAGCCCCCCATTTCACATCAGAGTTCCCCCATTTCACATCAGAGTTCCCCCATTCACCATCAGAATCGACCATTTTACATCAGAGTCCTCCTTTTACAGCACAGTCCTCCATTTCACACTAGAGTCCCACCTTTTACAGCAGAATCCCCACTTTCACATCAGAGCCCCCCATTTCACAGCACAGTCCCCCATTTCACACCAGAGTCCCCCATTTCACATGAGTGTCCCCCCATCTCACATCAGAGTCCCCCCATTTCACATCAGAATCCCCTATTTTACATCAGAGTCCCCCCTTTAACGTCATAGTCCTCTATTTCACACCAGAGTCCCCCATTTCACATCAGAGTCCCCCCTTTAACATCAGAGTCCCCCCTTTAACATCAGAGTCCCCAATTTTACTTCAGAATCATAATGGCAGATTTTTGCAGCTTTGATTGGATCCCACAAAATCATTCAAAATCAATCATAATGAAAGTAAAACAACAAAGATTGCTAGATTCAGACAGGATATGGAAAAGAGAGAGAGAGAGAGAGAGAGAGAGAAACCATGTCAAACCATGTCTTTATGGAGCTGGCTTGGTACACAGCCGCACAGTCTCCTGGAACAGAAAAGGTCTTTCCCCAAACTATTACCACACCGGTATGGTGTCTAAGGTGCCTTTGTGTGCCGTAGCATTAACAGTGCCCTACACTGGAAACATCTGAACTCATTCATTTGGAGGTGGAGTCCATAGATAGTATATCGGAGAAGCAGATTGTACTATTTATTAGGGATGCACCGATATATCGGCAGCCGAAAAAGATCGGCCGGAAATGGCACTTTTGGCTAAATGTCGAAAGTGCCATTTTTCTGCCGATACAGCGGTGCATCCGTGCTTTCTTTCCTCCCCTCTGGGCGCTGCTCAGTGTCCCAGCGGGGAGGAGATAAACTGTCACAGGCGGCCAAGCGCTGCGGTAGGAGGTGCAGTGAGCGGCCGGCGTCTCTCCTCCCCGAACCGCTCAGCCCCCTGTCACAGTCCGGCAGAGCGGTGTGTGGGCGGAGACAGCCCGCACTGTCACAGGAGGCTGAGCTCTCCTCACTGCATCGCTCGCTCAGCCTTCTGTGACAGGTACAGGCAGAGTAGGTACAGGCAGTCAGTGATCAGTGATCACTGAGTGTTTGTAGATAATTGAGGACAGAGTATGGTTACTATATCCTCCAATATGAATGGATTAGAAGTGATCTATATCCTGCCCCTAAAAGTAAAGTAAAAAATACAAATATTTAATAAAAAATTAATAAATAAATAAAAATGAATATAAAAATTAAAACGTTTAGAAAAAAAGAAATAAAAAAATATTTTAAAAAATGTGAAAAAATTAAAATAAAAACATTTTCGGTTTCGGTTTTCAGCCTGACATTTCTTTTAAATTTAGGTTTCGTTTCGGCTTTGAAATTTCCATTTCTGTGCATCTCTACTATTTATCTATCTAAGTTCTACAGAAATCTAAATATTTGTGTGTGGGCTCATATAAACATACAATTATAAAATATGGAGGAGGTTGTATACAAAGGCTCCTTCCAGACTACAAGACCAGGACCTGCTGCCTCTTCACTGCTACACTCTGGTGCAGCGGCCCACTGGTATCATCAAGTACAATGTAGGGCCCATAGCCTTGCGGTATACGTGAGGATGCTGACGGACCGTTTACAAGCCGGGACATAGGGGTAGAGGTCAGAGTAGATTTCTGGGGGGGGGTTTGGGTAGGTAGAACTGCTTTACCCAATACTCTGGACCTAAACAATCATTGAACCCTTGCAACATGCGAACAGCCCCACTGCAACTGATGTTTTGTGGTTTCCACTGAGATGTTTCTGACATGTTGATTGTAAGATATTTCATATTCCTACAACTCATCCAAAACACAGAAGGTTGTGCAATCTGTTTGTCTTGTATTGTCAGCTCAAACAGGCCATAGACAGGTCAACTTTCTTATTATGGTTCAATATAGATATGATATCTAAACAACTATAGTGATCATCTAGTCTACGCAACACTTCTGTATACACATCATATTGTTTTCTTTATTAATTGCCCAGATACACTGTAAAATCAGTCAATAGACAGAAGATAACAGAAATAGATAAAGAGATAGATAGATAGATAGATAGATAGATAGATAGATAGATAGATAGATAGATAGATAGATAGATAGATAGTGGAAGGCAGACAGATGAACCCAAGAACAGTGAGCAGCAGATGAAGAGATAGACAAGGGATTCATTGAAGACTGATAGATTGCCAGACAGTATAGATAGATACTGGCAGGCAGACAGATGGATTTTTCTAATTGGATTCAATTGGAAATTGAGTGACTCATGGGTGAAAGTTGTGTGGATAGACATAGATTAATTGAGGACTGATAGATTGTCAGACAGTAGATAGATAGATAGATAGATAGATAGATAGATAGATAGATAGATAGATAGATAGATAGATAGATTTTTCTCTCTGCTTGCCAGTATCTCTCTCGCTATATACTGTCTGGCAATCTATCAGTCTTCAATTAATCCCTTGTCTATCTCTTCATCTGCTGCTCACTGTCCTTGGGCTCATCTTTCTGCCTTCCACTATCTATCTATCTATCTATCTATCTATCTATCTATCTATCTATCTATCTATGATAGATAGATTTTTCTCTCTGCTTGCCAGTATCTCTCTCGCTATATACTGTCTGGCAATCTATCAGTCTTCAATTAATCCCTTGTCTATCTCTTCATCTGCTGCTCACTGTCCTTGGGCTCATCTTTCTGCCTTCCACTATCTATCTATCTATCTATCTATCTATCTATCTATCTATCTATCTATCTATCTATTTATCTATCTAATTGGATTCAACTGGAAATTGCGTGACTCATGGTTAAAGGTTGCATGAATCTTGGGTGAAAACATTTAAAAAAAGGACCCCAAAGAAACAGATAGATAGAGA